CCCAAGCAGTCAGAAAAGTGAAATTGACGCGTTATAACAAACGTCTTGCGTTCTTACTTTGAACGCATTTTACACAGTCAAAAATGTCCGAATTTTGGCGTTTTAACAGTCGCAATATTTTAAGCTTTCAGATGGTTAGAACGAAAAAGGGACAAACGTTTAAACACATTACTCAAATAAACACATAAAAACGCAAAAATTCGGACATTTTTGACTATGTGAAATGCGTTTAGATGAAGAGCGTTTTAATGCATTTCCATGGAAGAAAAAAATTTTTATAAATGGATTACAACGCATTTTCATGCCAGTGATACGTAGAATTATGTACCGAACCACGTTTTTACTTGTTCTATTTTGACTCAGTTTAACTCGTTTTTATGTCAATGACACGTATTAGGTCCAGAAACGTGTTTTTGCTTGTTTTGTTTTGCCTTAGTGTAGATTTGATCGAAGGAACTTATAATTATGAGACAGTCAACTTACCTCTAGACTAAACTTACTTACTTCTTAAATACTAAATTTTCTACTTATATTGAACGAAACTCATGTGTATGTGTATATAGACTTTACGGCTCCTTATTCTGATAGAAGTCGATACTGAACTCAAGTTCGAATAAAAATGCGATTTGTAAATTCGAAACAGGCACTTTAAAAATTTTACAAAAACAAAAATATTAAAAAAAAAATAAACTGTTTAAATATTTATATATATAAACCTTTTTTTTATATAAATATAATTATATTATTTTTTTTAATATAAATATATACTGTTTTTTTATTACAAACATATTATTTATTATTATTAATTTTTTATATAATATATTTATTTCAACTTGAATTACTCTTCCACAATAATTTGTATATTTTTTATTATTATTATTTAAAAAAAGTTAACTTATTTACTAACGTTTGAAAAGCATCAGCTTTCTTCTTCAGTGCATTTTAACAATCAGTTATATAAGAGAACATCACGACAATTGTATTTTTCTTTTTCTTCCTTTATCACTCTTTGTTATTGATACGGAAGAAGAAACAAGACAATAATACTGGACGAGATGGTTTAAAGTCTATCTTCTGTAATAGTAATAAAGAATGATAAAAGAAGAAAAAGAAAAATATAATTGTCCTTTTATTCTCTTATATGATTTATTGCTAAAATGCATTGAAAAAAATAGCAGATGCTTCCAAAACATTTCTAAACTAATTGTTTTTAAATAATGATTTAAAAAAATATACATAAATTATTGTGGAAGAGTAATTCAAATTGAAATAATTATTGTAATGTTCTTTCAATGGAATATAAAATATTTATATTAAAAAAGTACGAATTATTTTATTATAGAAATTTTATAAAATTTCTATAATTACAATAATTCAAAATCCACTTCAAACAGGTGTACAGGATTGTATAGGTGGATATCACATAGTACAAGTCCCACAACTAGACCTACACCCACAACAGATACTTTCTTGATACATGATCATGTTTACCGATGCATTCTGTGGCATCACATTGCTCATTAATTAAGATTACTCATTAAAAATCTTTTTTTCCAAAACGTGTATTTAGCTATCGAACGAATTTAGATTTTTCTCCTCTTGTTAAATCAATGTTTTTCTTTCAGCTCCCTAATCTACGTTCTAGTACATAAAAATATTGGATCCTTTTTTTTTAAATGATTTGTAACAATTACGTTAGTAGGTGATGGGAGACCACATTCAACCATTAAAACGTGTTGTTAACGAAAAAAATAATAATAAGCTTGGTTTTAACGAGTTTCTGTCCATTGATTCTGATTCCTATAGACAAACGCATTGAAACGCATCAAATAATCACCTTTTTCATAACAAATCCATTAAAACCTGTTTACATACGAAGTAACCAGTTTTAACGAGTTAAATGTTTTGAATCATGGTGCGAATGAGTTATAATGCGTTTTTTTCGAGTTTTTCTATTTAAACGGGTCAAAACACCGTTTTAGCGTTTTCGTGTCTGCATGGGTANTGCTAAAGTGTTATCAGGATATGATATTGAATTAGATAATGAACAAAAACATGGGACTTGTTTAATTCAGTGTACTTTATTATAGTTGCTACACCAAAGAAAAAGTGTCAATCTTTTCGATAATCTTTTAGCGTTCCATTTGAATGAAAGAACATATGATACAATTTTCCTTCTTGTGTCATTATATAAAAGGAGGAAAACCGATCTTCAACATTGAAACAACGAAACGCTTTACATAAAATCATTTTTGATGCTTTGAAAATATTATCATTGTTAGTCTTTCTTTTTCACGAATGAAATTTGTTTTTGGAGATGGAAAGTATTGAATCGAATTCAATCACCAAGTAAAATTTTGAATTTCTGTTTTAGATATATAATAAATTTGTAACTACAATGTCAAACAAAGCTATTCAAGAAAAAGAACGAGTGAAATCCTTAGCTGAAGCTGGCGTAAAGAAAAAACTTGTTAATAACAAGTGGAGACGAATCTGTTCTGTTGATAAATGTGACAAACAAGCTCAACGAAAAAGTCTATGTGCTCGACATCTTACAGAGAATAAAAACCAACAACAGTCAACTGAAATGATTGCAGTTTCTCATGAATCGTCCATATCTTTACCAACGACAGGTTCTAGTTCCATTTCTTACAATCCAACGAACGTAGTATCTGCTACAGAATGTGATAAAGTGCAAAACACTTTTCTTGGATATGGTGAGTTTTTCTGTTTCATGAACAAAATATACTTAAAGGAATATATATTTTTACATCGTTTTAGACAGTACTCAAACTACAACGATACAAGTTCATTCAAGTGAACAAAATATTATGATACCCTCCGTTCCTAAGCAATCAGCATCTTCATGCGATAACATCGTATCTATTGGTCAAATGAATGCTAGTAACTCTTCCATAGCTATTATGTCGTCAGGTAAATATATCAGAAACGTTTTATTTCTATAATAGAATCTTATTATGCAACTCCTTTACACTAATTCTATACATAATTGAGACTAACTATATTAAAGGTACATCAACGGAGACGTTACACCAAACTACAGAGAATCAAAACAAAGAAACGAATATGAAAATATGTGCGTATCGATTTCCAATGGCGGATGATAGTCAATGTCGAACTACGGCCAGGTATCAATGTTCTCATTGTCCATCGTCATTTTGTCTCAAACACGGTTCACAACATCAACAGGACGTGAAAGAAGACCTAAATCATTTATTAAATAAAGCTAAGGTTAGTTATGGTTACATATATATGATGAGTGAGAAATTGTTGTCCAACTGAAAATTCTAGAATTGAGTACTTCTTAAGATATCAGGTAGTTCGTTTTACTTATGACGCAAAGTCTTGTCAAATTTACATGTTTGGTCATACTTGGATATAACAGTTTACTATTTGCTGCAGTTCTCAAACTCAACGAATTGTAATGTTTGTGCTTTGTTGCGTCATGAGAAATATCTTCAATCTAGTAAAATTAATTAAAGTCTGATTATCTTAGGAACTGTTTGCCAAAATACCATCGTTGAACATAAAGAGCGGTAGAGAGAATTGTATGAAACAATTTGAACGATGGAGGAAAACAATGCATGATAAAATCGATCAAAAGTATAATGAATTTGAAGAAGAAGTTCATCGATTTCATAGATTTATCGAATTGAAAAGAGATCACTGGAAATTAGATTTGACAAGTCGAATGGAAGTAAAAATTGGTTGTGTACTAATGGAACAGTTAGAAAAAGATGAAGTCGATGAATCAGAAGTCACTAAAGTTCAAGATGAATTCATTCGCATACAACAACTATTTGACTCGCTCACTAGCCGACCATTGATTGACGTAATCAATAAAGAAGACAATCAAGTAGACTTAAAGGCACCTCATTTAATTTTTCCAAATGTCAATGTGGATGGTTTTAATTGGATTGAGGAACTTTCAACGAAAAATAGTTTAGCAAGGATGGAATATTTAGACCAAGACCAGATTCACGTCGACGAAAGTGCAACATATAGAAAACCAGATGGTGAGTATTATTCATATTAATAAAAAAATTTTATCCTAGAGTCAAGTGAGACATATTAGTAAATTCAAACTTTCACACATTTTCAACAATATTTCTATTCAAATCATGACAAGCCTGAATTAGAATTTATTCAACTTTGCGGGATAAGTGATCACACTTTAAAAATCAGAAAAGAAGTCTGCAGCACCCACGCTTAAATAAGTAACAGTTCGTTGTGCGTATGAGATCAAATGAGAAGATATATCCATAATCTATAGGCTTTATTTTCATTTTGTGAAAGTTTCAGTAACATTTTCTGTCAACATTCGATCTTTTACAGTTCTCATCTATCAGATCATGTCTTTATGATTGATTTAGATTGTGATGTTACTTGCGAGACAACAAACCACATAAAAATTAACAAAACTAAAAGAATGAAGACTACAGACCCAACAGTAAGATATTAACAATTTTTGTTCTCGATTTACTTTATCGTCGACTGCTATCATCTAGGAGAACATAGCATTACAACAAAATTCATCGATGTTAGTCACAACATTTCAAATAGTGCCAAACATAGTGAATCAATCAATGATCTACGATTTACTAAAGGTTTGATATTCTTTTTCACAGTAATCTCTGTAAATATTCAGCCTATGAAAGTTTATTTTTTAAGAATGATTTACCTTCA